TGGTTTAATTTGGAATGGTCTGAGTTGACAATATAACGCAAACTGCTGAAACCAAACCACATTCATCCCTAGCTCAAATGGGGGCTGAATGAGCCACACAAGAACTAACCAATTGTTACCACAAGACATGAACTGAAATAAGGCCTCTGTCATCCCTTGGTGTACAAATCTTTTAAAGAACTTTCAATCTTTTGAAAATTTAGGAATTGGCAAGTAATACAAGTGAAACAAGGTTACCATTTAAATCACTTTTTACAAACTGCAAAAGTTACTAATGTACCTTAATCAAAGAATGCATAAAAGTAAACATATAATGAAATCACTAGCACTAGTTTTGTTGATGAAACCTTCATGAAATTAATAGATTTAAAGTGTTAATATCTACTTAAGTAAATACTTATATTAACTTGTTGGTAGAAAGCTCAATTATCCTAAAGAAAAGAGAGGAATACATTTTCTCAAATAACTTTTGAGTATGGTTTTCTTACCCCCATCCTAGAGTAATAATATCCTTGATACTGGGTATTAGGACCCGTATATTCTTTGTAATAAATATGGAATTTTTCAATTTTTAGATAAAAGATCGAATTTTCGATCTTTCTTTCATCGAACGATAGAGGGATACACTGTATTGATTATAGTTCATCAACCCTCTTTAACTTGACTCAAAATGTGAAGAATTTAGAAGAAAATAATAAGAATACTTTGCTAGATTTTCTACCTTAATAGAAATTTTCAAGAATTTGCAATAAATATATACTTGAAAGATGATTTTGAAATCTTAGAGCTCTCATCCACTTTGAGCATGTAAGAAGTAATTTTACATAGAGTATATTTTCGATATTAGACCATGTTTGAAAGAAGGATAATCCAACATAATATTTTGGTCCGCTAAAGATTTATCTAACAAAAATTTTTCAATGATTATCCACATGTGCATCTTGATGTTGCCATAAGATTTTTCATATTTTGTCGTGTATTTTGTCTTGTTAAGAAAACATTATTTATCCCACTAACATATCTATCAATTGATATTATGTTGGATTATAATAAGGCAAATACGTATATACTACCATTTATTCAAACGAACATACGTGGTGGCAACCACTTCCATTTATCGAACTCTTTTGCCTTCAATTTCTTTTTTATGTAAACAAATATATCCCTAAAATTGTACCACTAAATCAATTTAGGGTTTTAACATTTTAGTGCCACTAAAAATTTTATCCACTAAAATTTTAATTCACCAACTTTCAACTCTACATGCATAGCCGTTCGAAACTCCAATTTGTGCAAGAAATCAAAAGTAAATGTGTGCCATGTGTCCATGGATTCAATTAACCAAAAATCCTGTTTTTCTTTGTATCAACAAAAATAATATTTTTGAAATAACCTTTCATCGAAAATTCTTGCATAAAACATTTTTATCAAGATTGTGACTCGAGCTTTCTAATGAATTTTGATTCGTCAAAAATGGATATATGTAACTTCTAAAAATTGCATCCGAGCCAATTAAAATATTACAATTAATATATATGTGTGTGTGTGTCACGTGTCTATAAATTCATTGGTGAATTACTTAATTATGATTACTATTTTTATTATAAGAGCTCTCATATAGATAGGTTATTTCTAGTATTATCACCCTAAATCTAGGGTATTACCAACCTAATATCGTAAAATTTTCGTAGGACATTATCTTGAAATCATGGGGGCATTATAATTCTCTCCTCTTTTTGTAAGAATTTTGTCTTCGAAATTCACTTGAATAGTTTTGGATATTTTTCCAGCATAACATCTTTCTATTTCCATGTTCTCTTCTAATTACGCGCTCTTCCACAATACTCTAATTTCTTTATTCCGAAGTTGTCTTATCAAAAGATAAAATCTTAATGGGTTTCTCCTCAAATGATAAGTTGTCTTGAATATCCATAAGAATTTGATTGAGTATATGCGTTGTGTTTGGTATGTATATTTTGCAATATTGATATATGAACACATTGTGAATCTTACTTAGGGCCTATTTGGCATAACTTTTGAAAAGTTAGAAGAATATTTTAAGACCAAAAAACTGCTTTTGAACTCGTTCGATAATTTTGTGAAATTACATCTTCTAGTTAGAAGAGCTTTTAGATGAAGTTGGTCTAATGTGGCTCCCTTTAAAAGTACTTCTGGAATAAGCACTTTTAAAAATTAGTTTCCAAACAAAAATTAATGTAGTTTTGATCAAAAACTCTTCTAAAAGAAGTAAAAACAAGAGCAAAAGTAATATGTCTGGTAATTCCAACTCATAAGCTACTAGCCCAATTCTTTTCTTATTTTCAAAAAGTCTAATATACTTCAGTGTTAATTTTCCCTTTTTGGCAATTTGTGATTGGCCCTTAAGTGGTGAAACCTTTATAAAAACTTTGTCACCAATGTCAAATTATGCCATTTCTTGAAATCTCTCTTCGATTCAAAATCGTGGTGTAACGTGTATCCTTGCCTGCCGGTTCGCCAATCATGACGGTTCTAGAACCGCTAAGCCTACATCACATGCAACAATTGCCGCGAGCAAACATATTAATGACGAGGTCTTCTTGCTTTGTCAGCCGTCGACCTAAAGCGTATACTTCTATTTTTTTCTTTTAGCGATTTTTAGAAATAATCTATATTAATTTTTGAGGATTCATATTTCATTAAAAAGCTCGCGTCACGATCTCACCGAAAATGTTTCATGCAAAAGTTTTCGATGAATAGTAATTCTAAAAATCTTTTTTTTTTTTAACGGAGAAAAATGGGATTTTTGTTCAAATTGAATTCATGGACACATGGCATTTATTTTCGAGGTTTTCTCACATCATTTAATCATTGATAGATATGATAGTGAAATAAAATTGGATATTATAATAGGACTAATTAAAAATATCCATTGATAGATATGATAGTGAAATAAATAATATTTTCTTAGCGAGACAAAATTGAAAAAATCTTATGGCAATATCAAGGTGCATGTGGATAACCATTCAAAAATTATTTGGTAGATGAATCTTTAGTGGACCAAAATTTTATGTAGATTTATTCTTCTTCTTTGTATAAACTCACTTCTTTCATGTTCAAAGTGTGTGAGAGTTCTATTCAAAGTCATCTTTCAAGTTTAAATTATTGCAAGTTCTTCAGAATTTCTATTAAGACAGAAAATCTATCAAGGTATTCTTATTATTTTCTTCTAAATTCTTTACATTTTAAGTCAAATTAAAGAATGTCGATAAACTATAATCAATATAGTGTATGTCTCCATCGTTTGATGAAAGAAAGCTTAAAAATTCAGTCCTTTAGCCAAAAAATGAAAAATTCTAGATAATGGAGCTTGAGACCTTTGAGACGGTGAAGCGCAAGTGGAGATTGTCTCCCGGTCTCACTTCGCCTCTGTACATTTGTTCCATATCCTTTTAGAGGCTTCATCCCTGGAAAGTAAGACTCCAACTTTGCAACGATGATTTTTCCGAGTGTAGAGGCCTTATCTTTGCCTATGTATTAGCACCTCCGCTATGCAATGCCTCATCCTCACAATGGGACTGCATCGTCTCCATCATGCAAGGCCTCATCCTAGCTTATGCATCAACGTCTTTGCTATGTAATGCCCCGTTCTTGCCATACATCATGCTTCTGCTATGCAAGGCCTTATCCAATTATCAGGCCTTCGCCATGCAAGGTCTCTTCCTTGCTCATGCATTAGTGCTTCCTCCATGCAAGGCTTCATCCTCACCTATGCATCTGCGCCTTTGTATCAACTACAATACAATCTCATTCTCGTCGTTCGACGGGAGGGTTTGAAGCATACCAAAGGAAGCCTACTTTAAAACCTACAAGGTCGACTTCCCCATTCCTTGCATGAATACATTATCCAACATGCTAGCCCTTAGAATGGATGAACCATCTAACATGCAAGGTTGTTTTTATCGCCTTGGTAGGAGAAGCGTGAAGCATCTAAAAAGGAGCCCACCTTGAAACTAATAAGGCAAACTATGTTATTCCTTGCGTGAACGTACCATCTACTATGCAAGAAGCCCTTGACATGGATGAACCAGCCACCATGCAAGGAAGTCTTTGTCGCCTCAGTAAGAGAGGAGTAAAGCATCCATAGGGAGCCCAACTTGAAACCTATGAGGCTGACCATATTACACCGTATATGGATGCACCATCCATCATGTAGAAAGCCCTTGGCATGGATAAACATCTACTATAAAGTCTTTGTCGCCTCAATAGGAGAGGTGTGAATCACAAAGTTTGTGGAGTTCAACAGGCCAAGTTCTCAGGCTAGGAAAAGGACTACCAAGTTAGTTGCTACTCCCAACGCAACTACCATAGAAAATAATGCCATGTGGGTGTCGTTGAGGTCCGTCTTCCTGATCAGAAGAATCTAGGCCGAACCTCTCTTAGGAGACCCCTTCCAATGATCATCGTCTTCCACAAAGTGATGCTCACCTTGAAACCTACGAGGCTGATTTTATTATCCCCTGTATGGATGCACCATTCACCATGCAAGAAGCCATTGGCATAGATGAACCATCTACCATGTAAGGAAGTCTTTGTCACTTTGGCTAGAGGAGTGTGACTTGACCCTTGAAGTGCTCACAATAGCCCCCTATCACCAGAGAGACCATATGCTCTAACGGTTTTCTCCAAGTGTGTAGGAGAAAGGCTTTGTGGATGTGAGTGGAATTGAGATCTGTTGGCTATGTTATTCGCGCGAGAATAGAGGTCAACGTTATCCCCTTTGAATCTTCCATCTATTGGATTGCCAAGATTAAAGTAATTTTCTGTGGTATATATCTTAGTGTCTTTCACTCGAGGTTTAATTGTCACATTATCATATATTTCCTAGTGTGGATTTGCATCCATTATAATCCTAACTTATTTCTTCTCTTAGAAATTCATATTGAATCCTTGTTTGCTTCAGATTATATAATTATGTAATTGCAGTTTTGGTAGGGCATCTAATGCAATATATTGTGCAGGTACTTTGTTGCTGACAATGTTCTTGATGAAATCATATTCGGGTGGCCAAGACAAAGAGGTGGTGTGCAATTGAGAGAGCTTCTTGCTTCAAGACTCCAAAGAGCTATGACTTCGGTATATTAGACTGAAGAAGCATTCATTTTCTTTTGCTCCTTTATTTCTTTATTATTGATATTTTGATTTGTAGTATTGTTTCAAATATCGAATTTGACCAATGTTATCAAGCTAGTAAAACTTTCAGGTTGGTCTGAATGGAATCTCTTTGGACAAAGATCCACAATCTCTAAGTGGTGGCTACAAACGTCGACTTGCCCTAGCAATTCAATTAGTGAGATTCTTTCCTTTCTTGCTGATATCTTGTGTATGATAGTGTAATTAGAAAAAGGAAAAGAGTGGCATTCGCATGTGTGCATCCACGTGTATGTTTTTATTCCCAAGTGTGGATGTCCTATATGTGTAATGTCTTACGTCACAAGGTTGAAATTTGTTTTAGGTAATGATCACCTTAATGGTTTGTTATCTTGCTCAGGTGCAAACTCCAGACCTTTTAATTTTGGACGAGCCTCTTGCTGGTCTTGGTATGAAGATTTCTGTTATGCTCTTTATTATGTGATTTGTTTTGATCTTAAGCCATACTAATTGAGACACAAGGTATTTTGGTCTTTAAGCCTATTTGAGAAGGAAGGCAGTAAATCATATTTGTGACACATGGATCTTGATTTCCGTACTCAGCTATTGTCATGTTGAGATGCTTATTGAAGAATTGAAAATTTGATGATGTAGTACCTTCTTCTTTTCAGAGACCGTAAGTAATGAGTTAGAAACATAGGAGGTGGGAAAGGTTGGTAGCATTGCAATTATAGAGTAACTAATTAGATATAGTTGCTGTGAATAGGAAGCAAGATTTGAATAGGCACCTATTAAATTGGCAATTTTTACAAAATGGTTTTACTAGATCAGACCTGCTAAGAGTCTTTGTCCGTTAAAACAACATATTTACAAGATGAACCAAACAGAGATGTTGGCATTAAGTGTGGTCATACTACAATGGATAAAATAAGAAATAAGAATACACGTCAAACAAGTGAAGGTAGCACCTGTGTGAGCAAATTAAAGGAAGGATTACTTATTTTGGACATATTTTATTCAGACTTAATGAAGCTCTTATCTACAAGAGTGATGCCTAATAAAACATTTAGATGAATAAGAGGTAGACCAAAGTTAACATGGGTCTTGATATGGTTGCAAAAGATTTCTTTTTATTTTATCTTTTCTAGATCTTGTCATGGATAGAAGGGAGTGGCATAAAAATGATTCACAGGGGACATTGTTCCAGTCACTGATTCTCAGTTCTTTGGTAGCCAACACCAAATTTCTAGGGATTAGCCTTAGTTTGTTGTTATTGTCACAACTTGTTGAAAATGAAACATAGAACAAATATGCAATGTTCCTTGATTCAGTATCCACTAACCCATTGCAATAAACGGCACATGCTTAACCCAATGAATTCAAGCTTGGAAATGAGAGGTTATGTTGAAGACAATGATCTAAAATATGGAGAGATACACCGAAGTCTGATTAATTCCATTAGATAGATTAGGATACACTTTTGAATAATGCTACTTCTACATAATGATTTCCGTACAAATGAGGTGTCAAAAAGAGAGTGGGGAAGTTTTTTTATTTAGTTGAAGAAATTCTGATCCAATCATATCTGACAACATCCTATGTATGTAAACCATTATGTACATATAACACAACTGTACACTTTTTTGCAATTTGTGGAATTTGCTCTTAATTGCACCACAGCTGTACTATTTTTTGTCCATTTTTTCATATGTTGCTTGTAGTTGCACGAGCAAAGTAGTATGAACCTTTTTAGAAAAATATCAACTGATGCTTTTAACTTTATGTTGATTTAATACTCGCTTTAAAATTACTGAACATTTGTCTGTCTATTAGATTGGAAGGCCCGTGCGGATGTTGTTAAGTTGTTGAAGAATCTGAAGAAAGAGCTGACTTTGCTTGTTGTCAGTCATGACCTTAGGTGAGTTATAATCTTCGACATCTGTTTGTCTACCGGCTTACTGCCAATGTTTCTTCCTTTCCCTGCAAAAGCTTTTATCCTGCTGTAGATTTTCGAACTAGTTTGGTAGCTGATCTTCTTGATATAGGCGACTCCTTTTGTTTCTTGGAAACATTCACATAATTAACACGCTGTCATTGCTGCTGTTAACTCCTAGAGGCATAAAATAATAAATGGAGACCGCATTTTGTTGCAATCTCATAACTACCATATTGTCTGAAATTATGTGATCACGTTTCAGAGCTTTTTTATTTTTCAGCCTAAGTATGACGGTCATTTTTGACATGTGAATATTGCTTGATGTTGATACTTGATCTCAGGGGAGTATGCCCCTTTTAGAAGCATGATTTAGTTGTCCACATTGAAGTACACTTTGGGATGGGTACCTAGCAACTTAAGAGAAACCCAAAGGATAATATTCTATTACATTTATTTTTCTCATCACGGGCTACTGTTTTACTAGCAATTGTGGATCATATTTTATGATTACAAGGCCATAGTTGACAGGAAATTTACTTTGAAAGACAATATTACTTAGATGGTGAATGAAGTCTTTTCAAACTAAGAACCATTTTTCAGTTTTAGAAGTTGATCAGCCTGCTATAAATTGTTGAAACATCCTTGAAGAAATATCGTTAACAGATTTCTGTTTCATGGGATTTTAACTTAAAACTGACTTGGACACTTGACCAAATAAAGTGGTGAAAAGGGATTCATGTGTCAAACCTCAGCTTTATCAATAATAAGGTTCAGATTCATTTATGTTTGTTGTTGGTCTGGATGTTTGAAAGTATTATGACTAATGTTCTGTATCTAGCATTGGGTACTGGAATCACACCATGTCTTCGAACTTTTCAAATTATATTGCTTATCCTGTTCTTTAGTGGCACTTTCCAGTAGCATCAAACTATGTCATTAGTGCATGCTGATGAAATAAACTCCATATCTAGGCAAACAAATAATGCATGGAATTGCTATGTTATTTTAATTTTGCAGTTTTCGTATATCTACTAACAACAAATCTATATGTAAATTATCAGAGAGTTGGCCTCTCTTGTCGATCAATCCTGGAGGATGGAGATGGGCGGAATATTGAAAAGTGAACTCCTACCAATCTGATTTCCAGCAAGTTCTTTTCTCTACCTGATCAATTTATGATGCTAAGAGCGAGGTATAATTGTGCTTAGTTAGTTGCCTAGTTCCGTTCCTTGCAGATCTGTAAACACTGGAAAGGGTAGATGCACTTAAAAGTAAATATAGCTACCTACAGAAATATTGCATGATGATAGTAAAAATAGAAAGAATTATTCCAATGAATAATGCTATGTGTACACCTTAAGGTGTATACACAACCTTACACCCCCTCACATGGAGGGCCCCACACATATTTTATTGTGTGTGGGCCCCCTCCATGTGATGGGAGTGTAAGGACGTGTGTGCGCGGTTATTTACACGTTGCATTGTCCTATTACAATTACCTATATTAGATTCCCCCGGTGATTTTCCGGTTATGTGATAAGCATGTGCCCTTCAATATAAATGCAACATTCTAACCTATCAGATTCAAATTTATGACAGTTACACATGTTGAAGGTGTCAAAGATATGTGCAAAATGTTTTCTGCAGATTTATAATTCCAACATAAGCACTTGTTAAATTACACACGACAAGAACAGCTATATTTGATTCTTCATATTTTCTGTGTTCTTTCAGAAATAGACATTCTATTTAAAGAGCAATGTGCAAACATAGCATTGCAATCCATCACTCTGTTTCTTCACTGGAAAGCTCGCGGAGATTGGAGAAGATTGGGGAGGCTCTTATTTTATTTTCTCAATCTTGAATTCACACCTCACTCATAAATAAAGCTGCATATATGTAATACATTAACAAATAGCTATATTGACACTGAAATGGACGAGGACTTGTTTACCTTGCTTCAATTTTTTCTACCTCTACAGCTCCAAGACTAAGTCTTAAGGTGAAAACAAAAGGAAGAGTGAGATAATGTACTTAATTAGGATATGGTCGATCTACCACTGGTGACTGAAGTGACTTCCTGTTTTATATAATTAGATGCTAGGACTTGATGATGTTATGTTTGAATACGTGGGATGATACATCCTTTCCAAGTGCAGATGTTTCACTGTGTATATGTTTGTATGAAGTTCTTCTATATTATAAGTACATAAAGTAATATATTATAGAAAGATCTTTTGCCAAAGATATGACAAGAGTCATGCCAACCTATTTGTTCAACGCATCAGTGTCGATGTTTGTTTGCACGACTCTGTACTTGCAATTATTCAAATGTTTACGAAGCTGCAAAAATGGAAGCCAATCTTGATCGGCAGTTCTTATGAGAGTTAGTATGAGTAAACTGACCTCGGAGAGTTCCCTTTTAATTGGAATTGATTCAGCAGCATCTCCCTTAGAAGAAACAGTACTGCTGCTTGTTGTGGAATGGAAATTCTTAACCATCTTCTTCATGAAACGTGCTATATATCTTCCCCTTGCTTCTTTCTCTGATTCTACACATTTCCTGCTAGGATCATCATGGAGTACGTTCCTCCTAATGAGGTCCCCAAGTGATGTCTTTTCTTTTTGCCTCTACCCCACTCCCAGCTGGTTCAATTAAAAATCGAAGAGAGAATTTTGCAGAGGACATTGCAGAGTGTTTGTGTCCTCCAGAATCCACTCCTTCAATCTGCTTGTTAATGAGGGTTATAATACTTGCTTGACTACTCCTCTCTGAGGAATCATTGACTATCTCTTTTGCTCCAGCTTCAACAAACTTCTCCAGCTCATAGTTAATAACCTCGAGGTCATTGGTTGTTATCTCTGTCTCTTCATTAGTCAAATTCATACAAGGCACAGTAATACTTGGAGTTGGTGGATCTGTATTGGGTAGTTCCATACGAATGAGTCTTCTTGAAAAGAAACATCTGAATTGTCAGCTTCAATTTTATTTGAAGATTTTTAACACTTTGTGTTCGAGTGTGAAAATTTCTTGATTGGGTCTAGATAGTAGTGCTCATCAGAAAATGCCTGCACTGAGAGACTAGAGGAGGGTTTCCTGAAATCCAAAATGAAATGAATATTCTCATTAACAGTTAAATTTTGTTTCTCCTAAAATTTTTTGTATGACAATTATTGGGAAGGAGGGAAGCTGCTTGCTACTCATCTAGTTATGTCAAATTTTGACGGTTTGGTTTCTCCTGATATTTCCTCGACTTCATATGTAGCTTAGATTTTAATCTGTTGGCCACCTTTTCCAGGAGCATGTTAGGCTTTCTGCGATATTTGGAAGGCAATTTAATGTCTCAAAGACATTCCAGTATGACAGATTGTCCTTTAACTGCTGGTATAAGATTTGCAATCGTCTAAATGATTCCAAAGAGGAAGAAAAGAATAGAAGACAAAAAAATGAAAATCAAGTTTCAAGCCTTTCTGGACTTTGTTAAAGATAATTTGTGTCCTCAGAGAAGTTACCTGTTGTGAAATCCTTCAGCAGCTCTTTATTATTTTGCCTCAACTTACTGTGCATCCAACGTAGTAACTGCATCAAAATCAAAGTTAGAAATATTGATTCTTCCTTTTATCCCAAGTTTAGAAGATTTTGGAGTTACCTTCATATTGAACTCTGTATTGATGATTGATCAGAGATGGTCAAGTTTTATGCAGAAAAGATTGTTTAGCGTTGAAAGGAAATATGTAGATATTGCATGGACAAATCAGTAATAAAAGGGGAAAGTTAGCACTCGAAAAGATTGAAATGCCTTTACATAATGTTGTTCACAAATTGAAGCACCCGGGTTCCTAGAAGAGTCTGAGGTGGACTCGTGCAGAGAACAACATCGAGAAGGGTACAAGATTATGGTGGACAATTGCGTCAACATTGTATCGGTTGAGGAGTGGGCTTGATACCCACGTGGGTGATTATACATATTTTCTTGGAGTTGGTGGCATTGAGCTGATCGAACTTTAGTCAATACTCTTGTCCGAACACAATTGTTTCTTATGTCAGTTGTCAACTGGTAATTGGAAACCTATCATTCGAGAAACTCATGCAAATTAAAGGATGTAAACTGAACTGAATCGAGTTCAAATGACACGCTTCTGGACCTGAATCTATTTTTTATCAGGTAAGATGAGAACATGGATCATATGATACGTGTATATGGTGCTTTATTAGTTGCATATGGCACTTATGGATAAAAAGATAATTGATTCTTCACAGATATTTTTTCATTAGGGCCACCTCTAGCTCTTTGCTGATAATCTGATTTGTGATTTTTCTTGATATATCTATTCATCCTGAAGAACTGACCAAATAGAGTAACATATTCGCCCCCCAAAACCCATAAAATATTAGGCGAGCTTGTGTCGAACCGAAGATACTCTTGTCCATGCCTAATACTAAGTCACAATTTCACTTTCATTCTACAATCTCGTCTTCTAAGCCACCCCCCTTCGAATTTGTAATCTTGATTTCAATATGTTTGCCATGCGGTTACTGATTGTGTGTGTGAATTTTAGTGAGAACATATTCCTCTATTTTCATGAGAGCGTCAGCTTAAATGATGAGTGGTTAAAATACAGGTTTTCTTATGGGTTGGAAGATCCTAAGAGCTTATCACCAGAACCAAAAGTAGGAATTCGGATGGAAAAATGACATTTTTCATGAAAAAATATTGGCAATCAAACACATCCTAAGATTTTTTTACATCTTTTGAAGTTTTATAGTACGTTTTGACAAGAAATATTTTGTTGATGGGGTCATCTTGAAATTTGGTAATGCATAACAGTTTTTTTCTTTGATTGTAGAATAATTCTTTTGCGCACCAACCCATTTCCAGATTGATATCGAACCATTGTTCCTGATCTTGAATTTTATGTTCAAGAACCCCCTCACAACTATGGAAAAAGGCTTCTGGGTTGACAATATTGAGACCCGGAAGGATTTTTACGGCTTCCTTAATGGACCTGACTGCTATTGTATGTTCTTGACTCTACTCTGGTGGATATTTTCGAAGTCTTTGATAAATGGTTCACAAATTTGCCTTATATTTTTAACAAAATCGGGGCAACATAATTTACACTCCATAAAAACCTTTGCAGACTTGTTTTATCTAGAATCCTCCGAAAATTTACATAAGAATTCTAGACTTCTTTGAATAGAGGCAATGATTCCTTGATAAATTTCATGTCTTTAAAACTTAATCCTAGTTTGACATAAAATTATTTTCTTAGTGGAAATTGCTAAGCCATTTAACTCAATTGTTTTGAAAAAAATATATATATATATATATTTAGATGTTTGAAATGCAGTTTTAAACTTTGGGAATAAATTAGAATATTGTCTATATAAACAATTGAAAAGTTTTGATATGGATTAAAAATGTCATTTATGATCTAAATTTCAGAAGGGGTATTTTTTTAATCAAAATGGCATAACGTTCCATTCATATTGACCAAACGGATTATTAAATCAGTTTTGTATTTATCTCGCAGCGATCTGAATTTTTCAAAAATCAGAATTCATATCAAATTTTGAAAATATCATTGTCTTAGATATCTATTTAATGCCTTTCTTTTGAGATAAAGGATATCGAATCAATTGAAGGATTTTGTTTAAAGTCTATTTACTTTGATTGTAAACATGGAAAGCAAAACAACTTCAAGGCAGCTTATTTGGACGAATTAAATTCTTTTTCAATAAATCACTAATTTCTTTGACGCAATAATCAAGCAATTCTTTATTCATTTGGATCGGCCTTGATTTTGTGAAAATTCTTGATTCATTATAATCATAAATATATTTTAAAGAAATAATAATTTTCTTTCTATTTCGGAATGCATTTTGGAATGGTGAAACATATTTCCAATTCAATTCAATTCAGTTTGATTTTGAATTTATTTTATTCTTTTTAGATTTTTTATTCTTAAATTTGTTCCTCAATTCAATTATATTTAATTTATTCATTGAGAAACTTGATGTGTTGTTTTTTTTTACAATTAATACTATTAATTATTTTTTATATTGAAGCTTGTTTGAGAGCATTTATATCTTTGTAGGATGGTGGATTAGAAAATTTGAAAACTATTTCTTGATCAAAGAATTGTAGTTTTTAATCCATTTGCATTTGCTTGAAAATGATAAATTTGTAAAATAGAAGGTGTTCCAAGAGTTACTTCTTGATCCAATCTTTTACTAAATATAAAATATTTTTGAAACAAATGTTTGATTTACAAACATGAGTTTTTGAAACTTTATATCGTATATCTAATTTCTTTCTACTTACTCCATATAGTCGCTCAGTAGTTTTTTGAAATACTTTGTAGGATTTAATCATTCCTTAATACAATTTTGATAAGCTCCATAGTCAATAAGGACTCGAGATTTTAGCTTGAATTCTTTATTTACCATATTTTTGACATACCATTTTTTGAAGTTGAATTCTATAGATTACATTGAGATTTTCTTTTTCTGATTAAATTTCTTCTTCTTCGAAATCAGATTTTTCAATTTCTGATTTACTTCTTGTTCAAACATCTTTTTCTAAAGATTTTGCCTTTAGAATGATAACTTCCATTTTCGCATCTTTCATTTGATGTTCCAGGTTGGATATTTGATTTTTCATTTCATTATTTCTCTTATCTAAAATTGGAACTTGTAACTTTGGAAGTGAAATCTTGTTTAAACCTATTCATTATTTGGGACATGCTAAATTGTTCTCTCGGTCGTTCTTGAGGTGTTATAATTTGATTGAATTTCTTTTTTAATTGAAGATCTTCTATTCTTTCAATTATTTCTTGAATAATTTTCTCTTTAGCAAGGACATTAATTGATTTGTTTTTGCAATAGCAGCTACTACCATTGCATCTGCAAATATCTTTGTCATTACTAAAGTTTGAAGAATCGAAATTTTTTCAAAATATGAATCCTCTTGACTTTGATAAATTTGTTCATAATTAGATTCTGAATTTTCTTCAAAACTAGAATCGATCAAATTTAAAAGTTTATTTTTAATAACTTCATTTATTTGAAGATTATTTATTTTTCCATTCATAGGACAATTATTTGAATAATAATATATTTGTTTATCGGGGCCAATGTCCGATCATAAGCTTTTC